TAGTATGATGGGCCCCAAAACCTTATTCTTCTACTTAGTAAGGCCCCTATATTGCACCCTAAACTCTGAACCCTAAACCCTAAACCCTCAACCCTAAACCCTAAACCTTATATTACACCCTACACTGCCCTACACTTACTTGTTTTCTTAGCCCTACCCTGCACTGACCCAGTCAGCCGTTGGAGCGCACGGCCTTGGCGCAGTAGAAATCACTTCTGCGAGCTGCTTCGTATATTATAACTTCATCTTCTCCTCGGTGGCTTTGAGCTTTTGCTTCACAAACTTCTTGCAGATGCAGCCAGGTCTGTCTGCGGCGGCCGCATCTGTGTTTTCCATAGTCAACTCTGCAAGCAGCATCCGGTAAGAACGAGATTTGCCGCATCGGGTCTTCGTTACCTGATCTTAGCACATGCCCCAACAATTTGGCCCCTGTGCTCCTGATGGTAATTGCTAAATGATGCTACTTTCCTGCGGTCACCCCTTGTCGGGAAAGCTGCGGCTGTAGCAGCCTGCAAAAGTTTCTTATTCGTGTTAGCTTTGTTAATGAAGGTAGAGGGCATCTCGAAGGTTCGACGCAAACTTCTATGCTGGAAGGCGTCGTTTCTCTTGTACATGGCTTGTGAGAGGTGAACTGTCTCTAAACCGTACAACATCTTACTACGTATAATGGCCGCGAACACGATTAACTTCTATTTTTTGCCGGCACAAGTTGCCTTCCAATACGAATTGAGCATATATAAACCATGTGCGGCGAACCTCCTGGATCTTGTTCTATATTTCATGCTGAATGTTCACTTCTTGGTGTAGCAACACCTAGTACCCAGATAGTAAACATTATGGGAAACTCCTAGAGGCTGTTAAAAAGCCCTAAACCGTCCTGCTTGATTGGCCCCGGTGGGGTTCCGAGCCAGTAGTCATCCTGCTCCGAAGCATCGTGCTGGGATACCACGGCCCATCCGAAGTCTGACTGCTCAGCTGCAACCCTGTCTCCGGACATCGTCTGGTACTCTTTGCCTCAAAGGCGGAGAGGCAAGGCGATGGCGCATCATCAACGGAACATGCCAACCTAGCACCTACTACCCTAAACCCTAAACCCTAAACCCCAAACCCCAAACCCTAAACCCTAAGCCCTAAACCCTAAACTACTCATTCCGAAAGGCACCTCCCTTTTTCAGCCCAAGCTGCATACGGCCACCCTGCCGGGATCTTCCGGGTCGACCTCCTCCTCGGGGCCAAAGAGGTTCCCGAAGAAGCGTCGAGACACCCTCGCGCCGCGATGCTGGCGCGATCGCGAGACGGCGGCTCGGGCCAAGGCAGCTGCAAGAAGCCCCGAAAACCCCACGGTGAAGCCTGCCCGGGTGCTCTGCGTCGCGCCGCTCCCCGGCGTTTGAGGTCGCAGTCCGCGCAGGGGCGCTGCGGCACTATGGCCGGGTAGCTTTGTGGGTGCCCAGCCGCTGGCAGCTTCGACGAAGCCGCTTGGCTTGGCGCCAGCTGCCCAGACAAGTGCAAGTCCTGCCGCTGGTACTACCTGCTGCGCAGTCAGCCGTCTCTTCTCCATCGGTGCAGAAGCCATGCAGGCGTTCTCTTGGAAAAGTGCTGTGTTGGAATACGAAACACTGGGACACAGGTGCATCAACAAAGAAAAAGATGAGATGAGTACAGCGACAGCCCAAAGACGGATAAATTCTGAGAGCTGAAAACGAAGCCAGTTGAATTCCGGAGCCGATTTGTAGCATGTGTTTGCTGGCAATGGCTGCAGACAGTAATGGCACGAGACCGAATTCATCAAACGTCAGGTCATGGATGTCGCCTGCATCGAACTTCAAGCCTGAACCCCATTGCTCTAACAATCTGAATCGGGTTCCTGCAAAGGGTTCCTTTTCAGGGTTACTACTACTAGTCTAAGGGATACTATATAAGGGTTACTACTAGTATATATAAGGGATACCATAAGGGTGTAGTATAGCGGCCTTTCCAGGCACCCTAAACTCCTCAACCCGAAACCACCGGGCCATGACCCTAAACCCTAAACCCTAAACCGTGGTCAACCCGAAACCAAGGGGCCATAACCGTAAACCCTAAATCGTGGTCAACCCGAAACCAAGGGGGCAGAACCCTAAACCCTAAACCCTAAGCCGTGGTCAACCCGAAACCAAGGGGCCAGAACTATCTTTGTGTCGGCTTACTACTATGCGAGTCAAGATCTGGACTGCACGAGCTGGGAACTTGCGAGCTATTTAGGGCTTTAGGGCTTTAGGGTGTAAGGGTTTCGGGTTTAGGGCTTTAGGGTTTTAGGGTTTCAGGGTTTTAGAGCTTTAGGGTTTAGGGTTTAGGGCTTTAGGGTTTTAGGGTTTAGCGCGTTTAGGGCGTTTAGGGCTTAGGGGTTATACTGGATGCCTGAGGCCGCAAGATGCAAAAGTCCCAGCTCCTTGATTTAACCCACGGCTCCACCTCACGAGGCGGCTGCCCACCGATGTCGACTCGCGGACGATGCGCACCTGGGGCTGAAAGTAATAACTTGGGACGTTGGGTTTCGATTTCAGGAGATTTGCACGCTCCGGCGCTATCACCGTCACACCCTGCGTTGCTGGAAGCAGCCACAAGAACTCCACTCCAAAAACAGCGTTGAGCATGCCCTTGCCTGTAATCTCTTGCAACAAGGCCCTAAACCCTAAACCCTAAAGGCCCAGAAGCTACGGAAGCCATCCGAAAGGCAAAAGCCATGCCCTGTATCACAGTACCACCCTAAAAGGTGAAGCCGTTAGAGCCAGCAAGGTAAAGTCCGGCATGCCTTGACTAACCCTAAACCCTAAACCCTCAACCCTAAACCCTAAACCCTAAACCCTAAACCCTAAACCCTAAACCCTAAACCCTTTCCTACAGGCCCACAACCCCAGACACTCCAAGGCCCCCCTATATTAAAGCCCTTGTGTCATCCCATGAAGGCCCCTGTCTTGACCCTACAAGACAATAGGGTTTAGGGTTTAGGGTTTAGGGTTTAGGGTTTAGGGTTTAGGGTTTAGGGTTTAGGGGCCAAGCCCTCTGAAAGCGTTACTTGGAGGTTCATGGGTGGTTGTAAGTGGGGTTATAAGTAAGGTAACTATAGTTATAACCCATATTAGGCCCATGAACCTCCAAGTAGGGCGACCCAAAACGAAGACCATATTTAGGGTTGAGGGCTTAGGGGTCTAGGGTCTAGGGTTTAGAGTTTATGTAGGCCCCCAACAAAAAACGCGTCATAAACGCCGTACTAACCCCCTTGGAAAACCGTACTTCCAGGTTCATGGGTAGTTGTAAGTGGGGCCAATTATAAGTCCCGTAATTTGGGTTATAATTTTAGTTTCCCTACTTATAACTCCACTTATAAGTGACAGTACCCATGAACCTCAAAGTAGAAGACCTTAGCTCAACGCGTTAAGTTCGAATTCTGTGGCCGAGGCAGCCGTCGCTGAAGGCCTCGGCAAAGCCTCGCCGGCCTCCTGCAAATCCGGAGCCCAAATCGGACTGTACGGCTTAAGTGTGGTTCTAAGTATAGAGGTTAGGGGTTCCGGGCTTTGGAGAGTGATGGGGGCTTTAACTTTTCGGATTTTCAGGTTTGTTGTGTGTTTCTGGCTTCAGGTTGGGGATGTGTTTGGGGCAGGGTGGGATTTCCGGCCTTGCCCACCTTTAAGCCCGTAACACCTTGAAGGCAACATCTATCGACCTATCTATCTATCGGTCTATCTACAAGCCATCGCGGGACCCTCCTTCTTAGGGCTCCTGATGATGATTTCCTTATATAAATCATACCCTAAACCCTAAACCCTAGGCTCTTTAGCCTCGGCGAAGCTTCATCAGCGTGAGCGGATTTCCAGAACGAACCCCTGCCTTGCTCGAACGGTATTGGGAAGTACTTGGAGGTTCGTGGGTAGTTATAAGTGCGGTTATAAGTCCCCTAATTAGGGTTTATGGCTACCCTACTTATAACCCTCTTATAGCTACCCATGAACCTCCAAGTATTTTAGGGTTTAGGGTGTATGGTTAAGGGTTTAGGGCATGTTATTGGGGCTAAACTTCTCCAATGGGGTGCGTCTCCGGTTCCTGCAATGCCAGGCGCTCAATAATTAGAATGGGGTTCGGAGTATACGTTGGCATAAATATATTAGGGGCGACAAGGGAATATTGCTGCTGCTACTGCTACTACTACTACTACTACTACTACTACTACTACTGCATATTCCTACGTTTAAAATACCTCTATTTACGGTATAGGGTGCAGGGTTTACGATGAAGGCTCACAACAAAGCCGCAACCCTAAGCCCTAAACCCTAAACCCTAAACTAAGCGTAGGGCCCTCTCCGAGCCTTGTCAGAGCTTACGACGGCGGCCATGCACCTGCCGGCTCTGGTTTTTGGTGTTTAGGGTCTAGGGTTGAGGGATTCATAAGCCCCAGAGGTATGAGGAAACACAACAGATCCGATGCTTTGCCCTAAACCTAAAACCCTAAACCCTAAACCTTAGACCCTAAACTTCAAACCCTAAACCCTAAACCGTAAACCCTAAACCCTAAGCCCCAAGAAGTACTTTCAGGCTGATGGCCGTGAACCCCCATAAGGGTTCCATTGGGGGGGGTCCTTCAAGGGTTTTCGGGTTTAGGGTTTAGTTTTACGAGGCATTTTTGCTTGGTCCTATAGCAGGTTTTGGTTGTTTTACAGTTTATATAAGTGTATAAGAGAGCATATATGGGGGCTTTGAGGGAGGTTGCCTGTGGGGTGCGGGATATGCGGTTAGAGTTGAAGCTATTGGGCTTGCGGCCTAGGGTTCAGGATGTAGCGACGGATCCCCCATAGAACCCAAAGACTCCCTAAACCCTAAACCCTAAACCCTAAACCTTAACCTTCTATAAGGGAATCTGACAAAGAAGCCTGGGGCCCGACTGTTCGAAAGCCCAACAGTCGGGGCCTGTAGGCCTTGGCTTTGGAGCGCACAACCTGCGAGGTGCGTTGGCAAAGCTTTTTAGGGTTTAGGGAGTGGCGTTCAGGGTCGTGGGAATGGCGTGGGTGTAGTTTAGGGTGTAGAGTAGAGTTTAGCCCTAAATCCGATATTTCCCCTAAACCCTAAACCCTAGACCCTGAACCCTAAACCCTAAACCCTAAACCGTGGATCTGATTTCGGGCAGGAGGTTGGGGGTTGAGCTTGTGAGGTTCACGGTGCAGGGCCGAGCCGACGAAGGCCACGGTTTAGGGTTTAGGGTTTAGGGTTTAGGGTGTGTAGACAGTGTGCGCGCGGTGGGTGCGCCTTTTACTTTAGGAATAGTGGCACACCCACTAATCGCGCGCTTGCGTCAGCATGTAGTCCCACCCCAACCACCCAAACTATTCTCCATTACGGTTTAGGGTTCACCCCCCAAACCCCCCTCAAAGGGGGCTTTCCTGCTCTTTACTTCCCTTCGCGGCTTAGCATAAAATGCTGACAGCAAACACAGCTGCAATGGATTAGTGTCGGGCTGTGGGTCCTCGCGGCCTGTGCCGGCCGCTCGACGAGGAGCAAGGGCTCCCAACAAACAATTTACTTCTCGCACTTTGGTGGAAATGGGTCAGGAGCCCTGGCAGGGGTGGCCGGAAAGGCCCACAAGCCCCTGGTCCCTGGAATCTCCAGCCTGGGGCCCCAGACCCCCCTGGGGGGTATCCCCCAGACCCCCAGGCCAGACCAAAAACACCTAGCGGAGGCTTTACCTCACCGTTCTGACGGGACGCTCGGCCGGGGGCCTCGGTCGGAGCCTCGAGCGCCCATGTAAATGGTCGGCGCTCTTGGCAGTTTAGGGTTTAGGGTTTGGAGGCTTTAGGGGAGGAAGGGGGGGGGTTCGGTTAACTGAAAGATGTAAGTTTATATAGGTGTTCAGGCATTCCAGGGGGTGTCGACTTGAGGATGTGTAAAGGTTCAAGCTTGTAGAGCCATGCAACAGACCTAAACCCCAAAAACCTTGAAACCCCAAGCCCTTAACCCTGTGTGTGGGCTCGGGTTCCCTAAACCCTAAACCCTTAGAGACAGCATGCAAACAAATGTCTTGGGTTTTATTGAAACGCCAAAAGCTGTAAAGAACCGGGACAGCCAAGACTATGCGTGGGCTTGCAAAAAGGTAATGTAGGGGCCTTAATAATTGGAATCTGCTTTTGGGATGCAATATAGCATATGTACTTTCATACGGACTAAAAGGGAATATTTATTAATTCCTAATTATTCAACCGCTATCTTGGGGCTTGTGGTTTAGCGTGAAGCGGTTGTCAAAGCTTCCGGGGTTTTACTTTAGAGTCCAGGTTTTAGGCCTTATGATGTCGGTTTTAGGTTTAGGGTTCCGGGTTTAGGGTGCAGGGGCTCATGGATTTAGTCGTAAGGCTTTTAAGGTTTGAGTTCACCGTTTTCTGAATCGGTTTGGGGCCAAGGGTGTGCGGTTCTACAGACGGCAAGCCATGATTCAGGAATTCGCATCTTGCCGAACACATAGCCTCGGCCTGCATGCCGTTGGGGCTACAAGAGACAGATGTGCCAGGAAACGTGCCAGAAACCGTAAACCCCAAA